ACGTGCTCTGAACTCAGACCAATAGGGATCAGGAGGCTCGCTTCGGCCGACTTCCTGTGCGATCCTAGGTCTGGTGGGGGGCGGCGGAGGGGGGGCGCGCTGAGTGTCAGTACATTAAAAGCTCCCTGGGTAATTCTGATGCGCAGCCTCCATTTCTCATCTGTGAAGTACAGATTTAAAACATAGCCATGCCCTAGCCAGTTTGGCTCAGTGGATACAGCATCGGCCTGCAGACTGAAGGGTCCTGGGTTCGATTCTGGTCAAGGGCGCATGCCCAGGTTGCCAGCTCAATCCCCAGTAGGGGGCGTGCAGGAAGCAGCTGATTGGTGATTCTCTCTCATCATTGATGTTTCAGTCTCTCTCTCCCTCTCCCTTCCTCTCTGAAATCATGTGTAACCTGGCAAATCATTTTTACCTTTTTTTTAAATTCTTACCTGAGGATATGTTGAGAGAGAGAGGGAGAGAAACATTGATCGGTTGCATTCTGTACACACCCTGACTGGGGCTCGAACCCGCCACCTGGGCATGTGCCCTGAGCCACCGGGCCAGGGCAGCATTTTTAACTTTTTTTTTTAAAATATATTTTTATTGATTTCAGAGAGGAAGGAAGAGGGAGAGAGAGATAGAAACATCCATGAAGAAAGAGAATCATGGATCGGCTGCCTCCTACAAGTCCCCCACTGGGGATTGAGCCCACAACCCGGGCATGTGCCCTTGACTGGAATCGAACCTGGGACCTTTCAGTTTGCAGGCCAACGCTGTATCCGCTGAGCCAAACCGGCTAGGGCACATTTTTAACTTTTTATTGCAGGATAACATACATACAGAAAAGTTCACCTAAGCACCCAGTACAGCTCAGTGAATTTTCAGAAACCAAACTCCCTGTGGGATCAGCATCCAAATCAGGAAGCCGGGCATTCATTACCAGCTCCCAGGCAGCCCACACCACGCTTCCTCCCATCACTGCCTCCACCTCAGGGCAGCCACTCTCAGGCAAGCCATCCTAACCTATCTGACAGCATCCACTGAAAAATGGGGACAGTGTGTCGTGGAAAGGTCGGAAGGAAAAGCCACTAATGAAGATAAAAGGGCTCACGGTAGATACTCAGTAGAGGGCAGGAATTACGGTTAGGCCAACGACAAGCAACACTGCGAACTCTCAGCCCAAAAGGGAGAAGGCAGGTTCCATCCTGGACATGAACACAGCTTGTAAGTCTTGCCTCTTGGGAGGCAGTCTCGTTGGGCTTGACACCAATGACAGTGCGTCGTGGAAAGGCCGAAGGAAAAGCCACTAATGAAGATAAAAGGGCTCACAGTAGACACTCAGTAGAGGGCAGGAATTACGGTTAGGCAAACAACAAGCATCACTGCGAACCCTCAGCCTGAAAGGGAGAAGGCAGATTCCATCCTGGACATGAACATAGCCTGTAAGTCTTGCCTCTTGGGAGGCAGTCTCGTTGGGCTTCCGTGCACTGAACTCAGACCAATAGGGATCAGGAGGTTCGCTCAGCCGACTTCCTGTGCGATCCTAGGTCTGGTGGCGGGTAGGGGGGCTGAGTGTCAGTACATTTTAAAAGCTCCCTGGGTGATTCTGATGCACAGCCTCCATTTCTCATCTATGAAGTACAGATTTAAAACATAGCCATGCCCTAGTCAGTTTGGCTCAGTGGATACAGCGTCGGCCTGCAGACTGAAGGGTCCTGGGTTCGATTCCGGTCAAGGGCACATGCCCAGGTTGCGGGCTCAATCCCCAGTAGGGGGCGTGCAGGAGGCAGCTGATTGGTGATTCTCTCTCATCATTGATGTTTCAGTCTCTCTCTCCCTCTCCCTTCCTCTCTGAAATCAATAAAAATATATTAAAAAATTAATAAATAAAACATAGCCATTATACATGATAAACACAACACATAGGAGGCCCTCAATACCTCCTCTGTATGTCTCTATTACGCCCCAAATTATACATTTGATCTCAGAAGGAGTCTTTGCTTACTATCTGTTACACGCATGTTTTCTGGAAAGGGCGAATAGTGTCTGCTTTATGGGCCATACAGAACCTGCCGGGTCTGTTCAACTCGGCCGTTTTACTGTGAAAGCAGCCAGAGATGGCACACACGGCAGCCTCCGTGTCCCTGCCACCGAAACTTTGATTGTGGACATTGACATTGAACGTCACAGCATTTGCACATCATGAAATAGCACCCTTTTGATTTTTTTTTCTAGCCGTTTAAAAACATGAAAACCATTCATAGCTTGGACTGTCCCGAACAGGCTGGATTGGGCCCTCAGTCTGACCCCTCTCATAGTCTCCTTTACTGTCCTGCATGTAACGAAGGGTATGGCAAGGTTCCTGAATTTTTTATTATTCATTTGTTTGTTTTAGGGTTCTCTGTAAATTGTCCCAATTCCTCTCTCACTCCCCCTCTGTCTCCCTCCTTCCCAGTGCCTTCTCCTCTCTCTGTCTCCCCCCACCTCCCTGTCTCCATTCTTCCCCCCTCCCTCTCCTTCCCTCTGTACCGGGCCCTAGTATATTAAAAAATTAATAAATAAAACATAGCCATTATGAATGATAAACACAACACAGAGGAGGCCCTCAATACCTCTTCTGTATGTCTCTATTCCCAAAATTACACATTTGATCTCAGAAGGAGTCTTTGCTTACTCTCTGTTACTCCAGGGCTCACGCATGTTTTCTGGAAAGGGCAGATAGTAAGTGTCTGCTTTATGGGCCATACAGAACCTGCTGGGTCTGTTCAACTCGGCCGTTTTACTGTGAAAGCAGCCAGAGATGGCACACACGGCAGCCTCCGTGTCCCTGCCACTGAAACTTTGATTGTGGACACTGACATTGAACGTCACAGCATTTGCACATCATGAAATAGCACCCTTTTGATTTTTTTTTCTAGCCGTTTAAAAACATGAAAACCATTCATAGCTTGGACTGTCCCGAACAGGCTGGATTGGGCCCTCAGTCTGACCCCTCTCATAGTCTCCTTTACTGTCCTGCATGTAACGAAGGGTATGGCAAGGTTCCTGAATTTTTTATTATTCATTTGTTTGTTTTAGGGTTCTCTGTAAATTGTCCCAATTCCTCTCTCACTCCCCCTCTGTCTCCCTCCTTCCCAGTGCCTTCTCCTCTCTCTGTCTCCCCCCACCTCCCTGTCTCCATTCTTCCCCCCTCCCTCTCCTTCCCTCTCTCCCTCTCTCTAGCATGCTGCTGGGCTGGGCTGGGGTGCACACAGGCAGAAGTCTGATGCCGGAAATAGGCCTAGGACCTGTCTTCCAAAACCCTGGCGTGAGATCACTGGTTTTCCCCAAATTCCAAGCCTGCATTGAGGCTTTTCACGCCATTGCCTAGCAACCGCCTTCTGTTCTTTCTCCCTTTGTGGCCCCCTCTCTCCCCACCCCTGGCCATTCAGACTTCCCTAGACACTGACTTACAAAGAGGGCTGTGAATCCCGTAGCTGCCCTATGAGGAAAACCCATCTGCAGCCCCCTCCTCCGGCTGCAGGCTTCTTTGGGTCCTGGAATGTTAACTAGCCTTGCTGGGCCCCGCTCCACTCTGGTGTCACGTGCCGAGGCCTCCGAGAGACCAGCCCTCTGTTCTCATTTCCATTCCCTCCTCCCACACCCAAGGCTCAGGGTGCCATTGCCACACCCTCCTCTTTTTTGGGGGGAGGGAGGGGGAGGTTTCTTTAGTGCACATAATCAGAAGACTGGATGTGTGTGTGTGTGTGTGTGTGTGTGTGTGTGTGTTTTAGATTCAAAAGCAAAACAAAATTCTGAAAGTATTAAACAATATAGGATCATATAATCACAAACAACGCTGGAGTGAAAATCCTTATGTTGACCTCCTTGGGAACGTGTGCGTATTTGTCTAGGGCAGAAGCTGGGAAGTGGCCTTGCAGAATAGCTCTCTGATAAGATTGTTCTAGGCAGTGCTCCCACCAGCGGTGCTTATGACTTCCCCTAAACCAGTGGTCAGCAAACTGCGGCTCGCGAGCCACATGCGGCTCTTTGGCCCCTTGAGTGTGGCCACGAAGTTTCAATCGCACTGTACTTGCGCACCCGCACGTGGTATTTTGTGGAAGAGCCACACTCAAGGGGCCGCAGTTTGCCGACCACTGCCCTAAACCGACACCCTCTCTGCCATCAGTATAATCCGACTGCAGTACCGAATCAAGGATATTTTAGCAGAGACTAAGTTGACTTCAGAGTGTAAATTGCCTGCTCTCATTCACCCCCCACAGGGATTCGCCTGTTTCCCCTACCTGCACCAGCCCAGGGGATTACCAGATATTTCTTTTTTTTTTTTTTTTTTTTTTTTGAACTCCAAAGGATGAAAAGATGCCTGTTTTAATTATCTTTCTCCTTCCGGTTGAGGGTTGTTTTTTGTTTTTGCTTTTGTTTTTTTTCCTTTCTGGAAGTATTTAGATCAGATTCACAGTCAAAAAGAGATTTCCCTCGTGGTTGAGCACTTAGTGGACTTGGGTGGAAAACCAGGCTCCCCACTTAGCAGCCCGTGACCCTGGACCAGGGCTCCCAACTCTCCGGTCCTCGGCTTTTCAGTCCATAAAACAGAGACAGTCATCGCCGGCTGCACTGTCGAAGGGCCTTAGCGTAGCACCTGGAGCTTATTAAGCCCTCGGTAAGTGGTGGTTAATGTGGCGTCTGCGGAATTCTTGGGGAGGTGCCCCTGGCGTGTTCCCATGTATAATGGCTCTTTTATAAGGAGACAGACAGGCTGCGGGTGTGAAGGAGGGAGAGCAAAGTCCCCCTCTAAGTGCAGAGGAGGTTTCATCGTGGGGCTGGGGGTGGAGATCCAGGGCCTGTTCTCCGCACGGGAAAATCCCGAGGGAGAGTTTATGTTTATCCACGGTCTCCCGGAGCCAGCTAACTAGATGTCAGGTTTTCTGCTTTTGGCTGGAATTCCTCCTGCTCAGTGTGGTAACGCTGTCTCATGCTGATCAGAAGCCTGGTGGTTATGTATGTCTTTGAGAAGGAAAGATGGGAATCAAAATAAATTACTAATTAACAAATGCAGCCTATTTGTCACAGCAACTCCTTCCAACCGTGGAGCCCCTAGGAAAGGATAATTTTGAAGAGCATCAACCAAAAGGAAAGTCTCTTCAACAAATGATGCTGGAACAATTGAATATCCGTATAGAAAACAGAAACTTTGAGCACGATGCACAAAAATTAAATCTGAAATGGATCATGGGGCTGAGCATCAAATCTGAAATTATGAAACTCCTCAAAGAAAATAGAGAAATTTTTTTTGCAACTTTAGGGTAGACAGAGATTTCTTAGATGGGACATAAAAAGCACAAACCATTAAGAAACTGGTAAATCCAACTTTGTCACCATCAACATCTTCTGTTCTTTGGAAGATACCCTTTTCGAAGATTAAAAAGTGAAGCAGCCAACTTGGAGAAAATATTTGCAGAGGATTAATACTATCCAGAATATAGAATGAATTCTTCCAACTCAATAATGACAAGACAACCCAGCTTTTCAATGGGCTAATGGTTCTAACAGACGCTTTGCCAAAGAAAAATATATGGGTGGTCAATAAATGCATGAAAAGATTCTCTATGGGAAAGTGCTGATTAACAACCACAGCGAGCTGTGGGTACACACCCAGGAGAATGACTAAATTTAAAGGCTGATGATACCAAGTCTAGACGGGGAACTGGAATCCTCATAACATTGCTGGTGGGAATGTCAAGTGGCATAACCACATTGGAAAACCAGTTTGTCAGTTTCTTAAAAGGATACACTTACCGTATGGCCCAGCAATTCCACTCTCAGGTATATAGCTGTTATGGTCTGAATTGTGTCCCTTGCAAAATTCATAAATTGAAGCCCTGATCCCAGGACCTCAGACTGTGACTGTCTTTGGAGATGGGCCCATTAGAAGATGATGAAGTTAACATGAGGTTGTTAGAGTTATGGTGGGCCCCAATCCAATATGATTGGTATCTTTGTAAGAAGAGGGCATTTGTACACATAGACCCCAAGCATGCGCACACAGAGGGAAGGCCACGTGGCCACGTGAGGCCACAGCAAGAAGGTGGCCATCTGCAAACCACAGGGAGCGGCCTCGGGAAACCAAACCTACCTACACCTTGGTCCTGGACTTTTAGTCTCCAGACCGGCAATGGATAAATTTCTGTTGTTGTTGTTTATTTTTTAACTA